TCCTGCAACCGTTCTTCATATGTTTTAGCCTCCACTCCCCTAATCATCTTTGTTGCTCTTCTCTGCACTCTTTCTAGTCTCCATATCTTTTGTACATGTGGCGACCAAAACTGAATTGTGAGCCTCCTATGTATATTTTACTTGCAATCTTTCCCAGCATCAGGATCTTTTCCAAAGCAAGCACCCAAATATATAGAAGCCAAACCCTTTCCCCCACTTGCGCTTATATGGGACACAAACCCGGGATCTTTCTTCTGGCTATATAACTCGGGCTCCGTTTTCATCCCAGTCTTTGACCGAGACAGATTTTTATATTATTGATGATGATGATGATTTTACAGTACTACTATGGACGCCTACGTCACATACAGTGATTCTAGGAGGCTCACAATTCAGGACAGGACAGGAAGACGAAGCCCAACTCGGGGTGGGGGGGCAGATGACCTTGACCCGTTTCCAAACGGCCCAGAAGGGTCAGCTCCGACAAGGAGCTTGGACGGAAGGACCGCCAGAAAATGCCGGGGCTTATAGCAAAGCCGGGGAAGCGCTGTCCCTGAAGTACTTCGGAGGGTGTTCCAGCTTCGGGGCACCACAAAAGGAGGAACCGGGCCAAAAGCGACGAACCGCCCTCTCCCTTACCTCATGAGGTAATCCCTGAAGTCCTTGCTGCGCACATAGTCCACGGCTTTCCGAGCCAGGGCCGCCGCCATGGTGAACGACAGGCGAAGGCAAACGAGGTCCCGGTGGCACCGCCGACGCGGCTAACAATGACAACCTTCTCCGCGGCCGGGAACGAGCCTCCTTTTCACGACGGGTCCGCCCCCTGCCTTACGATAGCACTCGCGTTTCCGTAGCAACGCCCATCGTGGATAGGCGCCGGTTCTTCCTTCTCCCCCCTCCCCCCACTTTCAATGGACTCGTTCAAGGGCGGGGAAGGAAAGGGTTGCCGTAAAGCACGGACGACGCCGGTTTCTCAAGCCGCGTTTCTGTTGGCTGCGACCAGGGATCTGATGGGCTCTTATTGGTCCGTTGCGGTAGCCTGACGTATCGCTACATGGGGCACCCTCCGTCGCCTTCAGTTTGCCGGTCAAGGGCAAGATGAGTGGTTGTGAGCGGGAGGCGGAGCTGATTCATTCTTTCTTCGGCCATTGGTGGCTGAGTTCCGGAGTGCCAATAGTGGAGGGAGCGCTGTCCTCGCTCAGGTTTCGGTATGAAATAATTAAAATCCAGCTCTTCAAATAGTGCTTTTAGCGTCGTATTGTATTTGGGGCAGCGTGGTCTACCTTCTGCACTGCTTTTGGATGACTCAGAACACTTGCTGGTCAAACACGGAATCCCGTCTACTTAGTTTGTTTTCTTCCTAGGAAAAATACTTCAAGTTCAAATTAAGATCATTAATTTACCAAAACTAAAGGTAGTATTTCAAAAGTGGCTGCATCATGCAGTAATTCCTACAGTAACTTTGATATTCCATTTGTTTCCTAAACAAAACCAGTATAGAATCCTTGTCATTTTACATTGCTGTCCATCATAATCCCAAGAATAGGTGTTTCCACATATTAGAAGTTAAAAATACTGAATTGCAAGTTCAAAACTACATTTCTATGCTGAGAAAGAAGCCGCTATTAAAACAGTATCTATGTCCAGATTATGGTGGTTTTTAAATCTTTTCTACTTGACAATTTAAGTTTTTGAGAAGCCACTGCTAGGTTCAGACAAAATTGGAGGAAGATACTTTGTTATATTGCACTGGAAAATTTGGCATGGGGACCCTAGAAAAATATTTTCCTCCCATCTGGTGGGCTCTTAAAATGAGCTTTTGTTTCTAATCTTGATCTTTACTTATCAAGATTAGAAAAGCTCTTTTTAAGAGCCCACCAGATGGGAGGTAAATACTATATGCTGTAATGTCCATCTTGAAACCTTTAATTATTTGAATTTCACCAGTATGACCAAAATGATGCTCAAAAGAAAGAACTTTTGCATTGAAGTTGGGAAAGCTTTTTTAAAATGAAAAAATATTTGAAGAAAAATTTAAATTTAGAAATGAACAACTTCTCTTGTTTCTGGTTATTTATGTATTTCTACAAATTGTAAACCAATTGCAGAGAAATCTAGGCTAGAGTTGATTGCTTCGTCTGCAGTTTATACCATTATCAATACAATTAGAGGTTTTATCCAGTCACTGGTGTAACTGTCATGACTGAATCATATAACTTCTCAGTTATTGGAAAATTCATACAGAATTGCTTAGTTTTGATTCTCTTATGATTTCCTCTTTCTTTTTGAATTACCGGTATATGGAAAATTATGTGCCTGTGGGTTTTCCATTTCTAGATAGATAAGTGTTCTGTTGGTTTCATACATTTAATACGGTGATTGAAAGACTTTTAAAAGCTTTCTATTTCATAAGTGTAAAAAAACCTATCTTGAATAGATTATTTCTAATCCAGGTAAGGCTGGGTTTGTTTTTTTCTACATGACTTTTAGCCTCTTTGGCAAATAAATGACATAATAACTCTTATCTTTACTTAGAAGGATAGATAATGAAACTGTTCATTACTCTCTTAGTTCTGGAGATTACTTTCCTTCTCTGTTAGTTTAAACTTGGTTCATATAACTGTAGAGCTCTTATCCTTGAGAAGAATTGTAAGAAACATCTGCCTACTATTAATAAGGTTTTTTTTAAAAAGAGAGTGTAATAACAACTAGTTCTCTTATCTTTTTGGACCTCATTTATGCCCCACAATAATGATACAAGTAGGATATCTGATGAGGTTGGCCCTTTAACAGAATTTTGATTCAGTTCCTTTGAGTCGCACACTAAAAAGCCGATCTAGATCAATATCTAACAAAAAGTTAAACTGTAACTTGCTTGGGAAATCAGTCTGAAAACTTTAAACACTTTCCAAAATAACTGGGATCAAAGGTAAAATGATGGCTGTTCACTATAAAGTCAGAACTGCTGATCTTTTAAGGAGGTGTGTGGGTTAATGTGCATGCTTTACCTCCACAGGCAAATCTTTCTATTATTATTAGATTTATGCACATACACTTTATGCACATCTTTAAGAATAATAGCACCCAGAAACATGTAGAAAGTGTTCATCAACATCCTAGCCAGATATTTGGTGTTCATTAATTGATTCAGTTTGTTTCACCTTTCTGTTTGCTGTATTTGGATAAATTGGTTAACAACAAGTAAAATGCAAAGAGAAATGTTAACATTATTAACAATTGCATTATTGTTTGAAATGCTTGGTATGGTGAAAAAAAATGTCAGCTACCGGAAGCCACACTTTTAAGGATGTCAGTTTCCTGATAGAGAACTGCAGTGGAGAAGGTTGTTATGTTGTATAATCACATCAATAATAAATGCAATATTTGGAGGCCTTTGAAAAGCTTTAAACAACCATGGGTGGGGGAGGTACGGTCTCAAATGGGTAAGGGTACTGCTTCCCTTTTATGCTTTACTCACTGGACACATACTCTCTCTGTACCATAGCAGTTGTTTATTGGTTGGATGTGTCTTAAACTCTGCAGAAATTAGTTCAAATGACATCTGATAACAATGAAATAAGGAACTCTTGTCCTTGTTCATATAACTACACCTATGAAAGTCTGGGTTTTCAAACACACAGGGAGAAATGCCTGAAGCTGAGTCCTGGATCCAACCACAAGTGAAAACAGTTTTTTACCTAATGTTAAGATAGGCAGGATATACAGTCTATAAAGCAAGTTTTTCTGGCTTAGCAATATTCATTATTGCATTAGCATACTGCTGCAGCAAGGAAATAGAATTAAAAGCTCCATAGTTTCAATGTAAAATGAGACCATCCTGCTCTGTTGAAATCATTGGCACTGATGCTGTGTACAGATTTGAATGGAATTTGGACTGTGAATTTGAATGTAAACTTTTACCTAATGTGCTCACCAAAACAGAACATTTCAGTTGATGTGACAGTAAGGCTGGGATCGTTACTTCCAAGTCCTAATATGACTGATTTTGTCACAGCTTGCTTGGTGACCTTAGACATAATGGTTTATAAATTCTTTCTATTTTAGTATTAGCTGTGAACCCAGGCACTAGATTGATCAACACACACTTAGCACATGGGAAACTCAGCTATGAGCACATGTGATTGGCCATTATTAAGAGCTAATTTACATGTATGAACACGTCCCTTTTTATGCTGGTTTTATTCACAGAATATAGAATAGCTTTTCCCAGCTTACAAGTAATCCTTGATTTATACCCCTGCATTTAATAAAGGTTCAAAGTTATGACAGTGCTGAAAGGTGATTTATGTCCCATCTTTGAAGTTACAACCATTATGTGACTCCTGCAGTCACATAATCACAATTCGGGCACTTGGCAACTGGCTTGCATTTATGACAGTTGCAATGTCTTGTGGTCACATGATCTCTTAAAAATGATAGCTTTCAGTGATTGCTTCTTTCTAGTGCAGACAAATATAAAATGCTTGACTAAAATTACCTCATCGAAAGATTTTCAACCTCTATTACAGCCTCTCCATATATTTGACTGCTGTTTTTTCAGTTTAAAGTCGCACAAATTCACCATTTACTTATGCATGAGACTTAGCTTCTTCAAAGCTGGTTTTCAAAGAGATTGATTATGTACCACCAAGTCATTGTTCACTCTAGTGATGATAGATGGATTGTTTCAATGATCCAAAAAGATACCCCAAATTCCAAGTTTGTTTTGGTAATTTGGAATTAACATCATAGTATCTACTAGTTACCACAACATCACATTGCTCCTTCATATCTTCACTTTCTTGCAAATTTATCTGTAGATATTTTAGCTAGGTTACTCCTGCTTCAGTGGCATTGCATTTCTATATTTTCAGAATGTTGTTAAATCATAACTACACATCTTGACACAACTCTTCAAATATCTTTTTAAAATATATTTAGTTATCAAGAACTAGTGGGCATTGTTCTTTTTTATTCAATAGTTAGTCAGAGGTATCCATGGGTCCCAGTGCTTTTATGGTGAAAGCAGCATTGTCACACTGCAGTGCATGTTCTCTCCTTTCATAGACGAGAGTGATATCAAACATAAAATGCATGCTGCACTGCTGCATTTATCATTTCTCTCCCATGGATGTCCAGAAGAGTGACAGAATGTGCATGGCGACATTCACATCCCCCTTATATACTTGTATGCAACACCGCAGTGCAAGTATAAAAAAGCAGACCATGACATCTCAACAAATTTTACCACTTTGGTGTCATCATAATAGGAAAGGATGCCTATGGTACAGTATAGATGCTTTACCATGAAAATGTTCCCCCTGCCCCAATCCCTGTGGATCATGTGCTACAACAGATACAATAGCTTTACTATTCAAGGTGGCCCATAATTTATCCTAATGTGCATTGTGAAATATCTTTTCTGAATGTGTTGCATCTTCTTATGATATAGTCTATGGGAATAATATATACATGTACCTTAATTCTATGAAAAGGTGACATGCTACTTGATTAATTTCTAAATATATGTGTTCTGATTCATATTATTTGTAATCCAACAGATTTCATAGATTCTAATCCTTTTACGATTAAAGAGGACATCCCTTGAATCATCTATGATTAAAAACAACAGTCAAACTTGATTTGAATAATGTGCCTCTTTGTACTTTTCTGTTGTCAGCAGGTATCTAAAGCAGAAAAAGCCATTTTTTGCTACTTATAAAGTATCCTAAACTGAGGAGGATTCTGCTATGGGTTCTGAAAGGTGAGAAAGCCTTCGAACATTCCATTCTGTTACCAACAGATAAACAGGACCACACATTCAGAATTTCTAATACCCAAAGCATTTTCGTATTTTTTTTTCTATATTTAAGAAAACTCACTTTATGGTGTTTCCCAGCACTATTTTATTTGAAAAGTCAAACTTGAAGAACAGCTGCTCTGCTGCAGTCCTGTGTGCACAGCACATCAAAATGTACATTAAAATATAATTTAAAAATTAAGGGCAAAATAAAATAAATATAACGTTTTGTTGAACACAGAAACAAACATCAAGAAGCACACTACAGTAGCTAATGCAGTTTCTTGCTCTTTTGTGTATGCAGGCTCAATACAAATCTCTCAAATTATGCTTAGCACCAAAAATGGTGTTACTTCTCAACAACAACAACAACAAAAGTTCTGTAGAATGCAATACCCTGACTTCACAGTTTCTCCCCAAGAATAAATGACAAACGATGCAGCTTCTCCCGCACACTTTCAGCAGGTGGAAAAATCCATTCTGAAAATAAAAGTCAAGTAAAGTGCTTATACAATCCTTAGAATGCAATTCAGAACTGAATGCTCCAAAGGCCACAGATTCCAAAGGTTTAGGGTGCAATCCTATGCCAACATACTTGAGAAAAGTCACATTATGAAATTTACTTCTGAGTAAAAAAGTATAGGATTGTACTATTGAGCATGCTTAAAACTGCACTTGGTTACAGCCATCTGAGTTAATTATGGTTATGAAGTGTCAGTGACATAAAATGTACCAGTTTTTTTCAATCATCTTTCAATATTTTTAAGGAAATTATATACATGCTTGCTTCTTTTGCTACAAGAAATAATACAAACTTTGCTTGCTGAAGCTCTTCTGCAATTTCTTTTTCTCTTGGGCAGTACATTGTTTTATATTAGCCTGTCACAATAAGCTATTATTTTAACATCAAACCAGTAAACAAAAGATCACTATCTCGAGTTGATATAATAGGAAACTCTGTAACAGCTTATGAAGCACAGTGCTTGTATTCATTCATGTAGTTATGAATGTGTCAATGGAAGAAGAGCATTGAAGTCCTATCTTCTAGTTCCCCCTCTAATTTCCAGATGAGTCTATATGTATAGTGTTTAGGTGCAACCAGCTACACAGCCACTTTCCATTTTAAAAAAATCCCTATGTCCGAGATGAGATTGTGCATTTTTGATAAAGAAAAGAGGCCTTATCAGATAGGAGGCTTCAAGGTTGTTTGTCAATGAACACAACTCTAATCTCCTTTCTATACTTTCATATGGTCCAAAGCCATAAAAATAATTCTTTTCCTTTAATAACATAGGTATGTTTCCAGCTCTTCTCCCCACCTCTTCTTCATTCCTCATAGGATATTATTTTTATGGTCTCGCACATCATTACATCTTCAACTCTTTGGAGACAGCTAATAACAGTGGTGACAAAACACCAAACATAGATGCTGGTAGAGCTGATGTCTAAAATTGAATCTGTTACAAAAAGTGGTCTCACAGAGCATTTGGATTAAAGGAGGAGAGGAGAGAACACAATATCAGCAATAGATACAGTACTTAAATAAGAAGCAATACAGCAGTTGGAAAAATGGCACATTTCTGAGTATTTGCCATCTTGCTGGTAATGTAAAAAACAACCCCAAAATGTCTGAAAGCAAAGAGCAACTTTGCCTTAAACTGAAGTTTTGCTGATTAAAACAATGTATGTGCCAGGAGTCCTGCAACATTAACAATATAGATCAGCCTCTCTGATCAATATATTGGGCAAGTGTTTCCTTTTTATTTAAACAGGCCTTTTTGGGACCATTATAACCTCGTTGAGGTCAATCTTTTCATCCCCCTTCGCTGGGCCAGGTTGGAGGACAATACCGGTTCCAGCCTTGGTGCTTGAGGCGTTTGGTTTAAAGCAAAGTAGGTGGCTGCCATGGCACCCTGCAAAATTAAAAAACAGGGAGATTATGCAATATTTCAGAAAAATCACTTTTCCTCTCTTCCTAGGAAAAGACATGACTAATTTAAAGAGATGCAGATGTGCTACATTCATGCTCCTGCAATCCAAAGCATCTTTTCAAAACTGAATCTGATATATTGCTCAAAACTAATATATTGGAATAGAAGTGGCCAGCAAATAACATTTTCTCCTTCCCATCTTATCAGAAAAATGTAGCTTTATATATGTTACACGTATGCATCTTTTGTCAGGCCACCCACTTTAAGGATAGTGTGTAGGAAAGAGGCAAATGAGTTGCAAGCAAGAAATAGCCTTACTGCCTGTTGTTGTTATGATGCATCAGGTTAAAAAAGGATGGATCTGCCAGCCTCCTAGAAGGTTCATAACCAATTCCACTGAGCCATCTGGTAAACCTCCAAGTAAATTGATTACATGCATGTCTGCCATTGATGGATGAAAAGAGAATGGCTTCAAGCCTTTGCAATGTGTGAGACTGAGGGCTCTCAATCCAGGGCCAGAGTTTCTTATCGCTTAAATACCATCAGAATGCATCTGACCTAATGCTGCAAACACTAATACTATCCCAAAAAGTTATGCCCAAAATAATCCAGACAATTACGTGCTTTAATCTATATCAAGAAACTGTGGACATGTTTCCAGACCAAAAAAAGGATGCCTTTCATAGATAGTCCCATTTAAAATAAACGGAGAGGAGATAGGTCTCATAGGCAACCTAACAACTAGAGGTTTTTCTCCTCTACTTCCCAGATTTTGTTTGGCTGATGGGTTATTCTGTCATGTGAAAAGAAAATCTTTCTCAACTGGAGCTTTCAAGCTGTTCCTTCAACTGCATGGCCTATGCTAAGCAAAATGAAACTCTGTAAGATAGATTTGAGATCCTGTTTCATTTTCCTAAAAAAAACATTTCCCCTGTCTAACTCTAGGTGTGGTACTTATCTCCATTTCCTACTAAGGGAGCCAGTGTTGCCTGAAGAAGTTTCTGTGGTCATGTGGGTAGCATGACTATATACTGAGGCAGATGGAATGCCGCCACCTTCAAAGTGGTACCTCTTTATCTACTTGCATTTGCATGTTTTGAAACTGCTAGGTTGGCATGAGCTGAGGCAGAAATGTGAGCTCATCCCATCACATGGTGCTTGAGTCTCAAACTGTCAAATGTCCACTCAACACACCCAGCATCTTAACTACTAGGCCACTGTACCCCCTCCTTCCTACCAGTTCATTATCCTAACTGACAAAAGATTCATGACAGAGATCTGCAACTTTTTAGAATCTGAGCATCGTTGCATGATTATTGTGGCCTGGTTCCTCCTCAAAAAATGATTTTTGAGGTTAACAGATTTTGGCAGTTCACCTCAAGTTTACACTAAGTCTATCCTGACAAATATTGATTGCCACTTTCTCACAAGATTGTCTGAATATAGGTGACCTTGTAAGAATTAGGTTATTTATTAAAAAAATAATTTAGAGATTTTTGCGGGCAGGAAGGAATTAAAAATTCTAGGGAAAATGAAATAATGTTGCTGGTTCTGATTGTGTGTAATTATTAATTATTTAGGTATCTTAAGAGACCATCACCAAATTTTCTATGTCTAGGAATCCAAAGCAGCAGCATTTGGACATACCTTTACAAGGTGAACATCTTGTCTGCTGAGTTGATTCTGGGAGAGATACTCCCTGTTTACTATCCATGGATGCCTTAAAACTTGTGTTGCTGTTAAGCGCTGATGGGGATCTACATGAAGCATTTTTGACACAATATCCTGCAAAAAATTATATAGAGAAGGTTACATTAATGTTATTTTACTAAAATAATAAGCACTCTGGATACCATATTTTTCAGACTATAAGATGCACCGGAATATAAGACATACCATGATTTTGAAGAGGTAATTTTTTTTAAAAAAAAGTTTTTGCACTCTGCAGGTCTTGCAAACCCTCTGCATGCCTCATTTTTACAAAAAAAAAAATCATGCAAAGATCATGTAGAGTGCTCCTGGGAGACGGGGGGGGGGGGCAAAAATAAGCAAACAATGGCCCATTTTTTTTTCAAAGAAAAGGGTGGCATGCAGAGCTTTGGGAGGCTCTTAGAGTGTTCCTAGAGGCTGGGGGGCCAAAAAGTGTGGGGGGGAAAACTCCTAAAACCTCTAAACGTCCATTTTTGCAAAGGGGTGGGGTTTCAGGAGGCCAAAAATGCTGTATTCAGTGTATAAGACACACCCAGATTTTCAGCCTCTTTTTTGAGGGAAAAAGGTGTGTCTTATACTCTGAAAAATATGATAATTATGATTTCAGGAATGGATGATAGGAACGGAAAATGACTTTAGAAGTCGGCCTATAACAATTAGTCTACATCCTTTTAACATAATGAAATTCTTCTGATGTTGGGAGGAGAGAGAGAAGCAAACGCTTGAGGGCCTCAAAATGTTTCTATCGGAATTATATTATATTATTATATTAAAACTGTATTAATAAGAAGAAAATAGCTTTAATTCTGATTTCTTGGAAGATGGAGCTAAAGATTATTCATGTGGGTTGCATTGCAACATTATTGATCTGACATGGGTTTTCCCTTTCCTGCAAAAGAATTAACCTCCCAATGTATTTTCTGCTACTTTAATAACAAATAGGATCTATTTATTGCAATAGGGAGCCAGTGTGGTGTAGTTCTTAAGGCACCCGGCTGGAAATAAAGAAACTATGAGTTTAATCCTACCTTAAATATAAAGTAGTTGGATGACTTTGGCCCAGTCACTCACAGCACTAAGAAGGAGACAATGACTAACCATATCTGAAATTTTGTCGAGCTAACTGCAGGGAATGGTGCAAGCAATCACCAGGAATCAACACGCAAGGAAGGTAGTTTGAGGAGTTCAATTTATTTGTGATATGTATTGCATATGTCCCTGCCCACCCATAACTCTAATTTGAATTTGAATATATATAGGTACAGTAGTCCTCATTTAGCAACTGCCTTGGACAGACTATTTGCAGTTACAATAGTGATGAAAAAGTAATTTTGTGACTTATGCTTGCATTTATGACCTGAGTTTTCTCTGACACATTTTGGCCATTGCAGTTAGTATGCATTGTCCTGTGTCTGACCTGTCCCCAACCCCCACAGTGGAGATATTGCTTCAATAAGCTATAATATCTCTCCCTAAGCTGCTTTTCTACATCATGTAGCATGTCCCTTAAAAGTGCTAACTACAAGTTAACAAGCTTAACTCTATGATCTTAATTGATTAGAATCCTCCAGCTCATTGGTACTACTGTCTGACAGGGATAAGACCCCTATCAATTTCACAGTGAAGTTTTTGTCTTCTAAGGAGCTGCAATAAAGAATATTCTAGGAAAACAGTTAAGCTAGTGCATTTCTTTCATTTGTATTCCCGATTGTTGGCCTGCTTCTTCTTTTGTAATCCCTTTCTCTTCAGTGAATGTAACAAACAATAATTGTCTTCTTGCTAATTATCTGAGACCTGGAGTCATCATTCCAAAGGGTGTGCAAATTGGGGAAAAGGATTATAAGATTCACCCTTTTACCCACCTTCCTTATAAGTCAAATTCCAGAAATCTTCCCCACTGTTTGAGCTTACTCTGCTATTTGGAGTCATATCCTACTAAAGCAGAGAAAAACTAAAAATTGTAAGCACAATTGTGGTCATGTGATTTTTTTGTTACTTAGTAATCACTTAATGACGAGGTTGCTGGTTCCGATGGTGGTCACTCAATGAGGACTAGCTGTACTGCTAACCACAATTTTAAAACGGAAAAAATGAGTCAGGAATTATGTTAGAATATTCAGTACTGTGGCAACTGGTAGATCACTAATCAGAGGTGGCAATCCTATACCCATTAATGTGAAAATAAAACTCATTGAATTCACTGAGGATTACTTTAAATATACTTATATAAGACTTATAAATTTTGATGTATACAATACTCTTCGTTGGGATATGCAATTTAGGAGAATGTGTGTCAAAATCTGCAACTATATCGAACTCCTCAAACACTCAAAACATAGGATCATGAATTTCACATAGATTCACAACAGCATTCATTGTTGAAAACAAACTGCTTGATAAATCAGACTTTGATCTGATTCAGCATGTTTACTTTTATCAAAGTGGAAGAAAAGAAAATAGATTGAACCAGCTCATTCTGCTTTTTTCTTTGTCTATACTAATTCTGAACTGCACTGAACTTTAGAAACCCAGAAAGCTGTTAAGATATTGAAATGAAGATAAACATAATCAAGTCATTTATTTAGTTCTAATTTAAAGAAAACCTAAGTCACACATTGCTGTCCTCCTGTGATCGTTTCCTTCTGAGATGCTACAAAACATGGCATCTGTGCAATACATGAGATCAATGAGGCATGAATGCATATTCAATGTTGGGAATAATCCTTAATAATGTTAGTTAATTGTTATACTTTTATGGACAATGAGATGTAACTATGCTTATTTATATAGTTGCTATTGTATTTCTAAAGAAACTGCTGTAATTTATTGTTCATTTTATGTGCGTTCATTTTAAATAAATGGAGGACAATCATGAGCAACAAAAGCAAAATAAATGGATACCAATCACAAGCACCATAATTGTGATATATTATTTTACCTTTGCAGCATCAGATATGGAATCCCAGTTCCCTCCTGCTAGAGCATATTTTCCACTGCCAATTCTAGCCAGAATTTCCTCTGGGGTATCATCTGGTCCGTTTGCAAAAGGGGTGAATCTGTTAAGCAATAAACAATATGTGAAACAGCTGTAGCATGATCAAAGCATAATACATCTGGCTTGCATACAAAAAGCCTTCCTCAATGTTGTGCTCTTTATGTGTGTAGACCTCCAATTCATAATCTCTCGGCTGGCCAGCACCTTCTTTGGAGTAGTATCCTTTGGAGAAAAAAACAGCACAGCCTGCACTATTCTTGTAGTTCTGCCAGAAGCTAGCATGCTTCTTTTTGAGATCCCTTTTAAAAATTCTGGTTCAGGCATTTTTCTCCTCTTTTCCATTTCAAATCAGGTTTTAAAATCTTCTATGCTACAGTATGTACAAAAATAAGCATATTGTGTTTATAAGGTAAATTTGTCCTAGATTTTAGCTTCTTTAAAATTGTTCTAAGAAGCAGAATGAAATATAATAGAATCCCTTATGCCACCAGGCTCGAAATTTTGGGCTTGAACAATCTGGAACTATGCTACCTATGGTCTGACCTAAGCATAGTACACAAAATTGTCTGCTACAACGTCCTACCTGTCAACGACTACTTCAGCTTCAAACTCAATAATACACAGGCAAACAATTGATAAAACTCAAGGTTAACTGCTCCAAACTTGACTGCAGAAAATACAACTTCAGCAAGAGTAATCAGCACCTAGAATGCTCTATCTGACTCCGTTGTTACATCCTCAAACCCCTACAGCTTCAACCTTCTACTTCAACTGTCTACCGTAGACCTCACCCCTTCATAATAGGCTCGTAAAGGGGATGTGCATAAGCGCACCAGTGTACTTACCGTCCCTGTCCTACTATACCTATTTATTTGTACTCATTTTCTTTGTTCATGTCCATGTTTATACTGATACCTCTTATCTTGTACATGTTTGACAAACTAATTAAAAATAAATAAATAAAAATATGTAATATATCTAAATATATCTAAAAGCCAAAACTTGAAGTCCTAAAAAAAGGTGGGCAGGATGGGATACAGTTCCTATAATATGACCTTTTTTTTCTTCTGTGATACAAAGCAACACTTAAGAGCCAATATTATAAAACTTTCCACTATGAAAGGTTTTATAATACGATTATAACACAATTTGATGGTCATCAAACGAAGTATACATTTTCTCTATAAAACCTACATACTTTGATAAATATATTTACTTTCTTTAATTTCAAAACATAGTCATTTCAAAATGGACATCAACTGGAATAAACAACTGCAAATAATATGCCTTAACTTTCCTGTCATTAACCTGACAATTTCAGTCATGAATTTTTGGCACCCAAATAAGTAATTTAAGTGGTATTTACTATAATGTCTCTAGATTGTAATTTCTGTCTTTATATTGCTGATCATTGGTTTCACTGGATTCCAAAATTGACCAGGCAACAGATATTAAGAATTTTTTGCACTTACCCTGCTAACATGGTATACAGCAAAATCCCCAAACTCCAGATATCACAGGCTGCATCATAACCCTGCCGTTTCAGAACCTGCACAAAGGTAACATAAGTATAATATATTTTATTACTTTTGAGAGTTGCTGAAGAGTTAACTGTTGCTTGCTTCACATTTAGACATATGTTCCCTCATGCCAATAGGCTCTGGGTCCAGTTCAAAGTTCTGCTTTTAACTTTTCAGGCTGTTCATGATTTCAGGGCAGTTTAGGGACCATCTCCTCCAAATGGAATCTACATAGTCCATATGAGAATGCAGAAGGAAGATGATGGGTGTTTCATCCCTGCAAAAATTTGCAGGCGGGGGGATATGGGCTCAAAGGCACTCACTCCTTTTCTGAAATGGTTCCAATGTTTAGGAGAAATTTGCCATTGGAGTTCACCTTATATATTGACTATTAGCTTAATACAAAGTGGCAATACTGATTTGCTTGAATGGGACTTAGTACTGTAATTATGACTGATGACCATGTGGATGGCTCTTTGTATTAACTGTAGTGTCGTTATATTTCTTTACGTTTTATGTCAAATGCTAGAAGTCATAAGGAGCTAGGCAATGTAATAACATAAGCAAGCAAAAGGATCAAAGTATATTTCACTGATTTCCATTCACCTACTAATTGATCAGTTTGTCCAGGATATTTCATTAAAGTACAGAATTCTGATATGTGTTCGTGTTCTAAATCTGAAACTGGGGAAAACACTTCCCATTTTTGTCCCTTACAACCATTGTGTGTAAGAAGTACTATTTATAATGAATACATCCTTGTTTCTTAGTTTAGGGTGTTTCTGCCAACTTCACAGATCCTCTTCTTATTTTAACCCAAACAGCAGGTTGCCCATCCTGCCATTCCATTCAGCGTAAACAACATAATGCAGAGTGCAAAAAAAAGGAGAGTAAGTAATAGTAAAACAAAAAAATATAAGAGGAAAAAAATGAAATAGGTAAATCTAGTTTATATTATATGTGTTTACACCTTCCTATTTTAATATATGTGCCTTCACTACAGCCACCATCTTTTCTTTAAATTTATCTCTTTTTGAGAATCTCCTTATTGAAGGCTTTCAAAAATAGACTGGCAACCATTTGACTGGGATATAAGGCTCCTGCCTTGATCAGGGGGTTGGAAGATCTCCTCAATCTCTTCCAGCCTTATGATTCTATCCAACCATAACATTCTCAATATTCCTTTTCCTCTTGACCTATTCACTCTTCCTTCATATAATTATTCTGCAATTAGATCCTCATTCATTTTGTCTCTGTAATCAAACCACTTCAATAAACTTCTTTCATTTCTGTATTCCATATGTATTCGTTTCGTGTTCATTTATTCTTCAGGCTATCACTTCCTGTTTTTACTACAAGTAATTTTTAAATTAATCTATTCCTACTGCATCCAATTTACTTTAGTGCTTTTGATATAGCAAAGTCTCATATCGACATAAGAAATAGGGTAAAAATGTGTTCTTATCTAGCCATTTTTGCTGCTTTCAACTTTATTCCCCAGACCACATATAAGCACTAGCTATCTACCAAATGTTCATGTCTTAAAATGCCTCCATCCATGTTCCGATCTTTAATAAATATTCTGCCATAGCGCACAAATATTCATCTACTTACTCTAATTTTTCACCATTTATACAGTATATATACAGTAATTTTTGATTACCATTTTCTCTGTCAGATACAACTTCCTTAATCTGATACACAAATCTTCAGGCCTTGTATTTGTTTTATTTGTATTTGTTTGCTTTTAGGCAATCTATAATTCGGCTGCAAATAATTCAGGTTATACGGAATCATCTGCATACAAAAGTGCATCTACATTCACATACTGGATCAACGCAACACACCTTTAACTTTGCACACATATTTTTACTTATTGATACAACTCTTAAATGCATTAAGATGAGTGGAAATCATACATTCTCATTCCCTATTCAGTATTAAACCCTGTGCTATGCATTCAATTTATCCAAACTTTCTTTCTATCATATACTACATTCAGCTGCCAATTTTAACTCAATTAAAACATTCAGTAATTCAAATTCGGTAGATCATACCATTCCCTAAATCCAAAACTTGAACAAAATACTTTTTCCTCTCACATTTAAACATTTTTCATAGATGATCTGAAGAAGAAAATTCTGGTCTGCACACTCCCTGTCTGGCACAAAATTGAACTGCACTTCTCATTTTGCTCACTGCTGCCTCTTTTTAACCTTTTGATCAGAAATCTAAAATACACTTTTTGGAAGTGCTACAGGTATGCAAAATCCCATTTATTCCTTAGAATTAACATGTGGGATAGGAATACTCAATTATATTTTAGAAAATTATTAAGACAATAATAAAATTTGGGCTTTTAATGAGGATTATTTTGCTATGTTAGTTTTAATCTAGTACCTTTCAGAGCAATCTAATGAGATTTTGTAAATAAAATATAGCTTGGTGAATTTGTTGCTGAAGAGAACAAACAATTTTCACTCAGATCTCAGCAACCACTGGAGAAAATAAAAGCTATTATGTGATTAAATTTATCTGCTGACAATGATCAGAGCTTATGAAATATGAGGCCATTTTTCCTGCCAAGATGCTTCCACTAGATGGCAGGTCAGTTCTTCTCTAGATATCTGTATAATGTTACATTCTCTCATTACTATTAAATATATAATTGGTATAACTACCACCCATTATAATTATAGGTTCAAAACCAAACATTTAAAAAGATGATATGGAAACAAGCATGCAATTTCAGTTGCCTTTTAAATAACTTGTATAATTGAGAAAGTATTTAATATGGCAAAACAATATATTGAAATTTGGACTGAAATAAATGGAGATAAGTAAAATGACATTAAGAATTAACAGCAAATGAAGTGCAAAGTTTACTTTCCTTCCTGAAAAGGAAGCAGTTTACTGGTTCCAGAAATTTCTCCCCTGAAATTTCATTTAGTTGGATAATTTATGAATATTTATATTGGATTACGAATACATGTTTACTAGGTACAAATGGAATATAGTTAGTCCTCATCTTACAACCAGTTGCCCAGCAACTGTTCAAAGTTACAATGGACCTTCTTTGGTCCTTGCAACCTGGTTCTGAAGTTCTCATGACTGGCCCTCCTCCTCCCCCAGTCACATACATGTGTGTTGGACCCTTGGCAACTGATTTTCAATCACATCAATTTGCTGCATCCCACAATCACATGACCATGTTTTATGACACTTTTGCTAAAAACAGCAGTTACTTCTGTTTTTCAGCAAATCCAATCCCTATCAAAGCATTAACGACTGCTGCAAACAGGTTGTAAAATCAGGTCAGTCATGTGGGAGTCCCATTTTATGATTGGCATGGCTTAGGTGGGCAGTTCCATTACAATAATAACTTGAGAGCTACAGTATCTATATCATATATTGGTCCCATGACATTGAACATATCTCTTCACATGTCATCCTCTAATTAAAAAATGAAACCATAAAGATAACATGGCCATAAAGAATGGCATGAGCTGTAACACCAAAATCTACAAAGAGGCCCATTTAGGACCAGCAAAGAAATGACCACCTCTAGGTGGAAATAGTTCACTTGGAATATGACTGTCTTCAGCATTCTAAATACATTCTGAAGAAACTCAGAAAAGGACCAGTAATAAATATGTAATTTAAGAACATCTGGAGCTACTCTGCTGGTTTCCCTTCAACAACATTCTGAAGAAGAAAAAGGTTTATATGCAAACCTGGTTCTGAAAAATAATCTGAGTTTGATACAGTAATTTGCATGAAAGTGATCTCCAATTCGGTAATGAGAAGTTTCTGTTTCTGTCCTTTGAAACTATGGTAGAACGAATGAACCTGAACTGAACAAAGTAAAAATTATCTACACATATGAAGGATTAAGGTGATGGATCCCCCACTTGTGTTTTGTTTTTAGTATTGTTTTTCTTTTGTAGGGATTTCCAACTACTAGAATAATGTGATTAAAAAAAAGTCCGCTTGACCCCTGAGGGGAGTGGCGGAGCGCTCCTGCATCTGTAGAGCTTCCGTGGTAGGGCTTGCCTCCAGGAGGCTTGTGCCCTCTCCTCCTGCTTGCCTGCCACAGATCCTCACTGAGTAACTCCGGTCTCACCCAGTGGCCAGGGCAGCGTGCTGCCCCAGGGGGCTTGTGGCAGTCCTGCAGGAGGAGGCTGTAGCGTGGTACAGGGAGGCAAGATTCGCAGATCCAAGTATTTTTTCCTTAAATTCCTTGCAATTTGCTGGAGATCCAGAATGGTGAACCGTCAAGTGAGTGGATTGGATCGATAACTGGGGAATACCTGGTGGCCAGGGGCATGCCCCAAAGAGCTTATCTGACTCAATCCAATCAATGAGAGGACAAGGTCAACCGAGTCTGGATACTCCTCCCCGCTCACTATGGAGAAAAAGTAAAATCTTGTCATGGTTGACTCGCTAGGCAGACCCACTCGCAACCAGGATAACAGTAATGGGAGTGAGTAGGGAAGGCATTGGAATGTAAGGGAGGTTTGGGAGGGAAATTTGGAATGCAAGTGTGCAGACTGGAAGCCTAAGACAGACCTAACATCACAAGGTCACCAGCTGGGGAACGTTGGAGGTAGACAGATCATTCCCAAAATAAAGTGAGTGCAAATGATTGGTGGACAATGGGAGGTCCAAGGGAAAAAGGAAAAGTTTTCCTATGCTGTTTATACACGCAATAGTTAGAACTAGCTTTTCTAATTCTATATCCATATGGAATTTTCAGTAAAAAAATGTCCCAGGAGTTTCTTTTATTGTCTAACCCAGTAGGATGGTTGACACTCCTTCAAGTTGAGATTGATTTCTTGGAATTTCCTGGACCTGTCCCTGAAGTTATTTTGCCACAGTATAGAAATATTTCCTATTGTCTTATTCTGATTTTTTTTTTTCAATTTTCCAATTCAGGCCTCATATTTCTTGGTGGCTTCCCATCAAAGTAGCCAAACCTTAACCCACTTACCTTCTGAGCTCAGAAAAAATAATCAAACACTGCAACCTATCTCCAAATCTAAAGCTCTTGAAACCACTCTCCAGAAAGTGATTGTATAAATATCAAAGGCAACTCCTGAATATTGCCCATTATGGAAATAGTGACCAAATAGTGGACTTTTTAAATCTTCATACCTCAGGTGCTACAAAATTGGCTGTGTAACATGGTGTCATTAGTAGACCATTCTCAGCTCTCAGTTGTTTGGCAAATCCAAAATCACACATTCTGATAGACTCTGGGTTCCCTGATTCGTCCACGTACAAAATATTACTAGGCTTCAGATCTCGATGAACAACCTGAAAATAAAGTTAACACATTGTGCGTTATCAAAACCCAAATTGCTGTAATAGTAAATGATTTGTCCATAATTGCCATTCTTTGAAAATTATTAGTTAATTCCAGAAATGTCTTCTGGGCATTTAGTTCCATGCCTTGATAAATATTGACATTACCACATAGCAAAAGAGAATACATTTTAGTAATAAACCAGAGGAACTAAATGAATTTTATATTTATTCTCTATCCTTCTAAAATATTAATTGTTTCCAGTAAATTACATGCAGCAAATCTGATTGGGAGCAGTTGATAATTGAGAAGCTGTAACCTGCCAGTAATTTGGCTCATACTGCAACTAGAAAGGTAATAATAATTAAAATTTCTGTTTGAAGGATGCGCTGCAGGCATTTGATCTTTATTATAAGAGAACATATTTCTATTCTACGCCATTCTGGTCTATCTTACAGTCTTCCATTTTTCACTAGTCAATGAATCACACTCCACATTCATTTTCATTGTAGATTTTGTGTCTGTGGGGAAGATGATAACGCCTTCCCTGATTCAATATTTTAATGACATGATGTGATATTTTTAGAAAGTTGATTGGATACAGAACAACTGGTATACTCACTCCCTGGGAATGGAGATAGTCCACAGTTTTGCTAATGGTACAGAGAACGGCACTAGCCTCTCGTTCAGAGAAGCATTTCTGTCGCAGGATTCGATCTAAGAGTTCTCCTCCTCGCATCAGTTCCATCACAAGGTATACAAATTTTCCGTCATCATACACCTATACATGTGTTGAGAAAACTCATTAAGTACTTGTTCCATGAACCTTAAATGCCCTAAAACCTCATACCGGTTGTCCTTGTCTTACAACCATTCATTTAGTGACTTTTCAAAGTTACAATGGTACTGAAAACAATGACTTATGACCAGAGGTAAGCTGCTGCGGGTTCGTAGGGGTTCGTGAGAACATCTAGCTAAGATTCTGTGCAGTTCAGAGAACCCCCAAATCCCACTCCTGGCTGACCCTGCCTACCCCTCCCCTCCCAGGAGTCCCCACACAGCCCATTTTGGATGCAGGTAAGTGCAGGGCACGTGTGGAGGCTCAGGGAGGGTGAAAAACGGGCCTAGTGGAAGTTCATTTCTGGCCTCTGGAGCCCAGGGAGGGCAAAAACTCCCCCCCCCCCATGGTGTAGGAGGCCACCAGGGCCATGCCCACCCAGGAACCAGACAGAGATCCTGTTGCTAAAAATTTTGAAGCCCACCGCTGCTTATGATTTTTTTTCACACTGTTCTTTTTCGCACGGTTGACCGCTGTAACATCCCCATGGTCATGTAATGAAAATTTGTATGCTTGGCAACTGGCATGTATTTATGATGGTTGCAGCACCCCAAGATTATGTAATCTCCTTTTGCAGCCTTCTGTCAAGCAAAGTCAATGGGGAAGCCAGATTCACTTAACAACTGTGTTACTAATTTACCAATTGTAGTGATTATTATTTAACCTCTGTGGCAAGAAAGGTAATAAAAACTCACTTAACAACTATTTGCTTTTCAACAGAAATTTTGGGCTCAATTGTAGTTGTAAGTTTAGGACCACCTATATTATTTTATTGTGCAAATACAGAGTTTTACAAAAAAACAAAAACAATCCACTTCTTCCTTTTCTGATTCCCAGGAACCAAGTTCCTTGCTTGATGGGAAATCAAATGTCCATAGTTCTTAATGCAGGTTGTTACATTAGCTAAAATTACCTACATTTTAATTAACTTTTATTTTATTGACCTGCATTTTTTCCACAACATTTGCTTATCATACTACTCACATCATCGCAATCATCACCATAAACAACCTGCATTCAAAGGTCAATTTCAACTGGGACTCCTTGGCAGTCAGAAATTTCAATCACAGGGCTTTGCTTTAAAGCACACTGATAAGTACTCACTGCAGACATCCATTTGAGAAATAATAGAAACACAACCTATTCTCACAATAACTTCCAAATGAATCAATAGATGCTAAAGAATATACCAGAGCTTCTAGTAGCAGAACGTCTGCCATCTGTTGAGGGCAACTTATAACATTGAAGACATTACTTTTTTATTCAACCCTCATACTTCCAAAAATAATTAGAAAGAGGAGAGACTTGTTATATCATTTTATTTGCATTATTTGAATGAAAAACGTGTGTCTTAAAAAAAGCCTGAAGCACCCTAAAAGAATGGCAATTTCTATTTTTTTAGCATTTGCTTATAGATTGTTATTAAATTGATCCTTACCATTTTGTAAAATGGAAAACCTTTGTGGAAGCGCCTGATAGATAAGCAAAGTTACTGCCTACATAAGAAAATTTATCAACAAAGTCTTTAGAGTTACTTCTTTACATTCTGATCCAACTTCAGGATCCAGCATAATTGCAATTAAACAAATGCAAAGGTTATTGCAAATTTATTAATGCACTTTCTAAACCCAATAATATAGCACAGATTTCCACAAGATTGTTGGAATTGGCATCATATAGGTTTTCCTAAACAACAATTCTTATAGATCACTTGCTCACAAGGAGATGTGTACAAGAAATATGTGAGCTTAACAACTACTCACATCTTTGAGAGTAATGATGTTTGGGTGTTGTCCGTATCTCAGAAGAATCTCAATTTCTTCTGAAGGGTCTCTCTTGCTCTTATCAATTATCTAAGGGAGAAATGGAGAACAGAGAAAATTCAGGAAGCCTCATCTGTGCAATTGAAAGAAAATCTATATTAATGAACTGATTATGGCAAACTGTTAACAATAGCAACCAGAGACAGAAAAAGAAATCATTTCCTGATTCTGACAATGAAAAGGAAGCCAGGGGACTCATAACAACAAAAGGGCAGTTTTGCATTGTCACTGATGAAGCTAGAAGTGGACACACCTGCACTCCAGAGCCACTAAAAGCTCTAAGTGTCCTTCTGAAATTGTAATTTACAACGTGACAAAAAAGGGAGAATTATCAAATGGCAAGACTCTATTAATTCTATTTTATTGATTAAATTAGAATGAAAATGAAAAGACCACTACTTTTGTCCTAAAATCCAATTGAGGTTTTCATCAGATAACTTTTAAGAGAAGGAACTTAGAGTATGCCCACCTATCTAGCCTGGTGAGATGGGCAGATAACCTCAGGGAGAGGCAGGATTGAAAACAACTCAAGGGTGTTAAAGGTAATACATAACAGTGGTGTGATATAGGCAAATCTCAGGTGCCTAGAACTGCACGCACTATTGCATTCTGGACTAGCTGCAACTTCTGAATGGCCTTCAGGAGCAGCTCCGTGTAGACTGGATTGTAGTAATCCAATTAAGAAGTGACCAGGATATGAAGAGCTCATAGCTGGAGAACGGACACAATTGGTGCACAGGACTAGGTTCCCCTAGTCATGGCTGCCAACTTCTCTTTGAACCAGTCCCACAAGTTTCATTTACTATAGTTTGTATGTGTTTCTAGCCTTATTGGAGTAGGAAGTATTTGAATCTGAAAAGGAAATAATTAGGGCTCAAACTGTTGTCCTCTACTTTAGAATTGTTTGTAAATAGAATTTCACTAACTCTGCATTTTCATACCCTCCTCTCTATTGTACTTTTCTGTTAAGCCAGCAGGCTTAGTTATATGGCTATAGCTGACAGAAGTATATTTATGTAGGGAAAACATAATGTGAGTTATGAACATGGAGGTTTGGGTCAAAATCTGCAAGATGGTGAGTGCAATTGAATAATAATTCTGTTGTTGCAAGTGCATTTATAAAAAGGACATGGGTTTCAATTGTGATGTCACGCCAGCCATCTTAAGAGATTTTGAGATGTGGATGGCCTATCATTTAGGATCTAACTCAGTGTTGGCAGAAGCACCTTTGACATAGCAGCAGATCCTGTTCACTGTGACATAATTTGCCTCTATAGCAAAATGCATTATTGGCAGGACAAAATAATCTAGAATTTCTATGAATTATTCCATCTTTAATTAATTCATCCTCAAAGTTTTTTTCAGTGCCAAGGAAAAATAGTTGGAATGTTTTGCTAATGGGAACTGTACAGTTTTGTTGTTTTTTCCATCCGATCAAAATGTCATAATAGCACGTGCCCAAGTTCACAAATATAATTATCTCTGAGGTGTCAGGAGGACTGTGCATGCTTTAGACCTTATATAAGCAATTCAATAAAGCAGACTGAGTTTTTAGGGCTCTGTACAATGCTGAAAAACATTGAAACTGCTTAAGAGTTGCATTACTTTTTGTGAAACCTATTAAAACAGCAGCATGAGGTTTCATTCATGTAGAAAATGGGTTGCTTTTATAGTTGGCAGAGAGATGCTTTGCTTGCGCTTCCATGAGACTGAAGTATTTCTTTCACATTATTTTTGAAGTGTGTCCAAATAATGATTAGCATTATTTTAGGGGAATTTATAATTACTGTTTGAAGATGTATTGAAGGAGAGAGGTTACTGACTGTAGTTGTTTCTATAATTTTGAATTATCTTGAATTTATGGTTCATTAGCTTTGGTGACTCATTCACTGGACAGTAATATCATCCATAAAATTAGACTTATTATTTTAGAGAAAAAGAAGAAATAAACTACTGTGTTTTCCCGAAAATAAGACAGGGTCTTATTTTCTTTTGACCCACAAAATATGGCTTGGGCCATATTCGGGCTTATTGTTTTGGGGTTGCTGGGTGGCTGCTCTCTTGCTAGCAGGCTCCTGAAGAGTCGGGAACAGCCTCAGGTTCGAATGGCTGTTGCAGCAGCGCAACACAGCAGCCATGAAGTGACCACACTCATGAGCAGCCACCCAGCAAACCCCCTTTCCAGCTGGGCACAGTGCCATTCACTGACGTAGGGGTATCGGCAAGCCGTGTGAGCGCCTGTTCGCTGTCCCCAGCTTCCGTGGCTTGGTGCCTTCGGTGCCTAGGTCAGTGAATGGAGCTCTGCATGGCTGGAAAGGAGAGTTGCATGAGCGGTTGCTCTGCTCCTCACTCGTGTACCTCCCAACCTCACGATGCCCTGGCCCAACTCTCCCTGCAGAGCCAGGGCACCTCTGCTGCCGCCGCCGCCCCCCACCCCAGCATAGCTTTTTCTGTGGCTTCCAAACTACAAAGATAGGATGCCGAGTCTTCCAGAAGTTGCAGCTCTGGGAGTAGGCTCTATAGTTCTGGGCCGGCTGCCAGCAGAGTATACTCCCAGAGCTGCAACTGCTGGAAGACTCGGCATCCTACCTCCGTGGTTTGGAAGCTGCAGAAAAAAACATGCTGGGGCGGCGCTGGAGGCAGCGGAGGTATCCTGGCTCTACAGGGAGAGTTGGGCCAGGGCATCGTGAGATTGGAAGGCACATGAGCGGGGAGCGGAACAGCCGTTCGTGCAACCCCCCTTTCCAGCCATGCAGAGCCCCATTCACTGACTTAGGGGCATTCTGAAGGCACCAAGTCATAGGACCGGGGGTGGCGAACAGACCCTTATGTGGCTTGGTGATGCCCCTAGGTCAGTGAATGGCACTGTGCCCGGCTGGAAAGGAGGTTTGCTGGGTGGCTGCTCGTGAGCATGGTCACTTCATGGCTGCTGTGTGGTGCTACTGCGACAGTGCAACACAGCTGTTTGACTCTGAGCTTGTGCCCAGCTCTTCAGGAACCTGCTCGCAAGAGAGCAGCTGCCCAGCAACCCCCTTCTTCAGTTGGGCACAGCACTGCTCACCAACCTAGCGGTATCCTGAAGGCGCCAAGCAACACGAGCCCCTTTGCCCCCCAATTCCTGCGACTTGGACCCTTTGGGATACTGCTAGGTCGGTGAGCGGCACTCTGCTTGGCCGGAAGGGGATTTGTCCAGGGGGCTTATTTTCAGGGGAGGGCTTATATTTTTGCCTACCCAAAAAATATGGCATGGCCTTATTTTCAAGACATGTCATATTTTCAGGAAAACATGGTAGTAATATTTTAAGCATCCTGCTTACTGTATAAAAAGGAGATGCCTGATTCCTTCTACCATTAATTGACAGCATTCACATATTTAACCTTCAACTGAATCATTGCTAGTGTCGAAACTATGTATATGATGACGCACTTAATTAATTAACTCAAACAGTTTTCATTGGGCTGAACAAAACTGTGATGGTTTAGCAAGTCCTTCAGTGTGGAAATACTATATGGTATCTTCTTTGTTCTAACATCTTTTAAAATGTCACCCAAAGGAGTGTAGAGTTTCTACATTCAAAATCTTACAGGAAGAAAGAGTTTGGCAGACACAAGACCAATATTTTTATTTATATTTAATATATATTTATTTATATTTGTAGGGCTGCCCATCTAACCTGTGACTCTGAGCAATTTACAACAGTTAAAAAAAAACACCACTCCAATAAAAGAGTTAGAAACAACTACAAAATATGTAAAACATCAGAACTAATAAGAACTACAAGAATGCAACTATTCTTCAAGAGTTCATACTTCTTCACATCTGTGATGAATCTTATATATCAAAATGTATGAGAAAAGATCTATGCATAAGTGCACATCGGGAGATTTGTATTCAAATTGTTCATTTATTAAAAATGTAGATAAAAATCTATAGAACAGATTGATTTTTTTTTTAAATGTTCTTTTCAAAACGCTCACAACATACTGTAAATGTACAGAACACACAACATTTATAATTTGGAGTCATTTCCCCTTGTCTATTAAACATACAGTGTTTCTCTGTATAAGAGCGGGAATTGTATTCAGACTCTTTTATTGGTAGCAACAGACACATTGCTGGCATATGTTCAAGGACATTCTTGTTATTATTTATTCAAATGTTTCAGGAGCAGGCTTAGGAAATGTCAGTGTTGTGGTGCAGCATGAAACCTGCCAGTTTAAACTGGTTGTTTTATCCCATGACAAAATAATGAATTTAAATAATGGTTGTGTGTTAGTTGTAAAGGAGAAGTATGTTTGCTAGTGCAGCAGATCACAGCTGTAGAAGTATGAGGAGAAAAGTGAAATGGGAAAAGATGATAATTTATTCTGAGGGTCCTTTCATATATTAAAACAAGCCTCTCTCTTCCTGCTCCCCACCCAAGTACCTAGAATAATTCTAATTACACGAATGATGGAAAACATCAGCCAGGATTTAATAAGTTTTCTGCATTTGTTGTATTCCATCTATTATACTGTTCAAAGAAGTATAGTACTAGCACGTATAGCAAAAGAAATCAGCCGCCAATTGTAACATGAGAATTTGTCCTCCTGTTTGTCCATATGACTATGTCTATGGAACAGGCTGCGCCAAACGGCCGCGCGCCCAGGCTCAGCGGGAGGCCAAGTCCGCGCGCCCCACCTCACCTGCACCAGTCGGGGAGGGGGAAGGAGGGGGAGGGGGCGAGCGCCGCACCTGGCCGGCCTCGGGGAGGACATCGCTGCGCCGCCCCTCACGCTCCCTTCGCCGGTAGGATGTGTTATTTGAACGGGCTGCGGAAGGGGGGGGGCGCGTAGTCACACCTCTCCCCCATCACC